TGTCAAGTAGTAGCTGGCTTGTAGTGTTTTTGTGAACATAAAATTGGATAATCCTTTGGCCAGGCATCTAAACTGTGCTATCTCCTGTGGTAGCCACTAGTCCTGTGAAACTGACTATAGAGCATTTAAAATGTGTTTAGTGCCGGTGAGAAATTGAATTTTAATTAAAGCAGCAATTTAAATTACTTATAATTTACATTAAAAGCTCAAGTAACATGAAATATTTTTCCATTAAATGAAACTTTATTGTTTTAGTAAGATTATGTTTTACTTTAAGCACTGTATTGTATAAGACAGGCATCAGCAAACTTTTCCTGTAAAGGGCTAGGTAGTGGATATTTTAGGCTTTGTGAGCTATATGGCTTTTATTGCACGTACCCAACTCTGCTTTTGAACTGGGAAAGCAGAATGTGTAAACAAAAGAGCATGGCTGTGTTCCAGTAAAACTTTATTTATGGATATTGAAATTTGTATTTCGTAATTTTCACATCATGAATCATTTTTCTTTTGATGTTTTCCAAGCATTCAAAAATGTAAAACCTATTGTTTTTTAATGAAAATACTAACTGAAGTATGCTTTGATGTATAGTATTATATAAGTTACAGGTGTATGATATAGTGATTTACGCACAGGTTTTAAAGGTTATACTCCATTTATACTTATAAAATATTGGCTATGTTCCCTGTGTTGTATAATACATGCTTGTAGCTTATTTTGTACATAATAGTTTATACTTACACTACTACTATATAGTACTCATGAGCTATATGGAAATAGACAGCAGGTTGAATGTGGCTCATAGATATATCCCAAGATTGATGAATTCATGTCTTTCAAAAGTAATTTATAAGACTGTGCACAGCAGCTATATTCATAATGACTCTAAACTGAAAACAACCTAAATGTTCATCACAGAGACTGGGTTTAAAAATTTTCAGTATATTCATAAAAGTGGATTACTCCATAGCAGTGAAAAAGAATGAACTGTCTTTAGATGATTATGTTGTACATTGGATGATTATCACAAAGTGTTATCAGAAAAGCTAGTTACAAAGATTAATATTGTATGATTCCATTATGTGAAGTTCTATAATGGCAAAGGTAATCTGTGGATTTAGAAATTAGAAGACATTGCTCAGTTGGATAAGGGGAGGTGATTAACTAGAAAGGGATATGAAAGCACTTTGGGTATTTGTTATGAGGTTATATATACATTTGTTAAAAGTCTTCAAATGAGGCTTCCTGGTAGCTCAGTGGTAAAGAATCTGCCTACCAATGCAGGAGACACAGAATTGATCCTTGATCTGGGAAGATCCCACATGCTGTGAAGTAACTAAGCCTGTGCACCACAACTATTGAGCCTGTGCTCTAGAGTCTGGGAGCCACAACTGCTGAAGCCTGTGCTCCCTAGAATCTGTGCTCTGAAACAAGAGAAGCCACTGCAATGAGAAACAAACCCTTGTCACAGCTAGAGGAAAGCCTGCAGCAATGAAGACCCAGCACGGCCAAAAATAAACAAATTTTTTAAAGTCTTCAAATAGTTAAGCTCTGTGTACATCATCATCATCCCTCCATACAAAATACTCTTTACATAATTTAAGAAGAAATCAATTATTTGTTGACTTTTAACATTATAGTATTTCTTAGTAAAATCTAGATCTCTGGCCATAGCGGTCCATATTGCTTCATTGCAACCATCAGCCAAACTGTGCTTTTACAGTAGGGCAGCCAGTAGCCATACTACTGCAGCTCCTGAGTGCCTGAAATGTGGTGTATCTGAATTGAGGTCTGTGGTACAGGGACGTACACATGGGGTTTAAAGCATTAGTCTGAAAAGAGAATGTAAACTATTATATTAATTTTTATCTTGTTTACATGCTGTCATTGATAACATTGGGTTAAAATATACTAAATTAATTTCACCTGTTTTTTGCTTTTTTTAAGTTGAAAAATATTAGTTGTGACAAAATATACATAATATAAAATCATCTTAACCATTTTTAAGTATACAGTTCAGTAGTGTTACATGTATCCACATTGTTGTGCAACCAATCTGCCTACATTGCAAGGTGGAAACTCCACCCCCATTAAACAACTCCCCAGTCCCCTTCCCTCCAGCCTCTGGCATCCACTGTTCTACCTTCTGTTTCCATGAGTTTGATGATTGATCCGTCATGTAAGTGAAACCATGCAGTATTTGTATTTTTTCACTGGCTTCTTCACTTAACATTTTTTTTTTGTTAATGTAGCTACTATACAATTTACAATGATACATGTGGCTGCGATTATATTTCTCAGTTCAGTTCAGTCACTCAGTCATGTTCTACTCTGCGACCCCATGGACTGCAGCATGCCAGGCCTCCTTGTCCATCACCAACTCCCGGAGTTTACTCAAACTCATGTCCATTGAGTCAGTGATGCCATCCAACCATCTCATCCTCTGTCGTCCCCTTCTCCTCCCACCTTCAATCTTTCCCAGCATCAGGGTCTTTTGAGGACAGTGCACGGCAGCTGCTTCTTTGTAATTAATCTTTTATTACTGTGTTTATGCTGCTTATGTTTTTTCTAATGAATTGAGGGATGTATTTCTAATATTCATGACATCATCAAACATGGGAAAACAAAGGATTTTTCCCTTAGAGGATCACATGTTTAAAAAAGCAGAGACATAATTTTGTTTGTGGAAGGGAAAAACAGTCATTTCTATTTAATATACAAAGCATTTCTGTGTTCAAAGAATACAACCTAAGATACCATTATGAAACAAATGATTGCTGTGCTCATTGTGTCCTTGGCCCCTGTCAGTATTTTATTTGAACTCTTAATTTGTTTCCTATCTGCTAATTTAATTCAGTTTGGGAGAAAAGATTCTAACCACTTACTGCAGATAGATCTTCTCCTGTGATTACTTGACATATATCACTGGATAGTAGGTACTTTATTGATTAATTTTCTAATAAAGTTTTGCTATTAAATTTGCTGTACGTATGACTGTGAAACAACATTTAGACTGAATGTTGACAAACTAGTTTTGCTTTTCACTTTTAAAAAGCTTGTAACATAAAAAAAAGCTTGCACCACCTTAAGAAAAATAGCACTTTCATTAGTTTTGAATAATAGGAATATCAGTATATATGGTTACAATTCTGTTACATAAAAGTTGTTTAAAGCCTTGAAAACAAAGAAAGTATGAGAGAAATTCAGCTGTATTTTGTCTTCTGCTGTCTGAGGGAGGGAGATTCTTTCCCAGGTGAACAATTCTGGAGAAATGCCATAGCCAGGGAAGGAGAATTTGTGATATGACAGTGTCCTAAAGGACAGCTGGGGGCCCTAGTGTAGTAGTTGATATTCACCAACCAGGTTTGTGTTCCATTGTTCCTGGAGTTATCTGTTAAACACCAGTGAAACACTGGTCAGGGAGCTTGCAAATGCCGAACATTTCCTTTTTTTTTTTTTCTTCTCTTTCCAGATAGGGCTCGTAAGTAGCGTCATCCTCTTGTGGGCAGATTAGAGTACAAGTTATTTTATGTGATCTTGTTCAGTTTTTTAAGATCCTTTTTTGCAGACTGAGCTGTAATAAATACCTTTCTGAGAAGAGAACCATAGGATTAGATCATATTTGATTTACTGAGAATCTAGACTTTCTTTTCTCTTGCCTTCTTTCTTTTGAAGTCCAGTCCTGCCTTGAGTGCTGAAGAGCTGCCAGGGTTAGGAAATAATAAAATATTAAAAATGGTGGCCATCATCTCTTTAGGGGAAAGTCTTGGTTTAATTTTCCAGATTGGTTATTCTATTCATGTCTCTTGGGCTCTTGGCTGATTGATCACGCAGGGATTTGTCATATTGCCTACTTCTTTGAATTGAATGTGGACATAGCAACTAAAAATAAACATGATGTGGATATTAGAGAACCAGGGGCCTTCTTTGCCTGGGGAGCTGAGATACTGCTTGCTGTTGCTAAGATGTTTTCTGGCTGTAACACAGCAGTGATCATTGGAAGTGCAGCTGTGTTTTTGGAAGAGCAAGCTAAGGGAAGGCAGAGGCACACTGATGAATATTATCCTAAACAATGAATCCAGATGCAAATCATTATGCCTAATCCAGAATATTATACCCATTTTTGGTGTTCTTTGTGCTGTGTTATTGTGTGTGATTTGCTCTGCTGAGAACTTGAAGTGTGCCAAAGTATCATTTCTGTTTTCAGAATAGTTTTGTCAGAAATTTGAAAGGTAAGTAAAAATACACCAGACTGTTGCATTTCAGCTCTTTGTGGTATTGAGTGTGGCTAATGGTTTTGACAGTAGAATTTGACTGAACGTTGGATTGATTGCTCTAACTTGATGCCATTTTCCTTATTCCATTACAAAAAGACAACTGGAGATTGTGTGTGAACATTCCTTGAGCAATAACATAGGATGAGAATGTGTTGTATCCAGTTAGTTTGCCCTGGGAATGAGGGGCCTTTCTATAGGGCAGCAGCACTGACCTATGAAGAGCCAGCTCTGCCACAGACATGCTGTGTCATCTTAGCTCCTTCTGGTCTGTTTCCACATCTGTAAAAGAAGGGTAATGATCATCTTACTGTAGCGAGTTGTGAGGATTAAATGAGTTAATATTTGCAGATCTTAATATAGTCTCTGGCATATAATAAACACTATATAAGTTTGCCTGCTACTGTTGTCACTTGATACTGATTTCTACAATGTCACATCCCTTTTCTTGGTGCCAAACTAAAGGCTGAAATGGAAGATCTGTCCAAAACCTGAATTTGTTCTAGAATGATTGGACAGCATTTAAAAATGTTGAGCCAAGATACCTTGCTAAACTGTAGCACATGACATTATTATAGGACTCTTTATTGTGTTGAAATCAGATTTAATCTATATTTAGTGCTCTGGAATTTTTCCTCAAAAGTGACTCATCTTTTGGCTATTGAGTTCCCCTTTTTGCAGTTTTCAAATAAAATCTCACTTGAGCTTCTTTGATTCTGCTCCTAAAGAACTGCCGCTGCCTCGCTTTATGATGTCAAAGACTGATGCTGAAATCCGGTTTGGGAACATGACTGAGCTGCATGGAACTAAAGTTCAGATTCCATATTTAATCACAGAAAAAAATACCTTCAAAAGAATCGACGATGAGGATAAACAGGTAAATAATCTGATCAGGCATGTCTGTTTGCTCCTGACCATGAACCCTCACAGAGCAGTGCCTCATAGCTGCTGTCAAACTTCCAGTTACTTGAATTGCACCATCTGGGATACAATTATAGTCTTGGAGTATGCCTATAAAGTTTCCTTGTAGCAAGAAGAAGAAGCTGATGCATAGCAATTACCATGAGCCATCTCTGGGCCATTTAGAGCCTACTTTAATGTAGAATTGTGTCTGAAGTAAGGCTACTGCTTTAACACACTTATTTGATTTATCTAACCACCATTTCCAAATGGGTTTTTTGAAATGTAACTTCTAGGAGTTTTTAATAAGTGCTTTCTTCCAAAAATCTGGTTTCTCTGGTTAAATGTGGTTGGAGAACACTGTTTCATGCCTTATTCTTGGGGGAAAGGCTAAATACTTGGTCTTAGACATTCACGGTGCACGTTAGCACAGTAAAGGCCCTGACAAGTCCTGTAGTAAAGAGACCTGGAGATTGGCATGTACTAAACTTCTTTCACCAGGGAATCCCTTCTTGGAGGGCCATCTTGGGAAATGCTGCCTTTACATGTACAGGTCAGGAACAAGAATAGGGTGGACAGGCTTTTAAAATTAGACCACTAATTGCAATAGTCAGATAGTGATGAGTAGAGAGAAAAGTGTAAAATTCCAGATGAGTAAGTCTGTCAATAAGAGGTAAAATAGACTTACACATTAGTGAGCACTCAGGGCATCAAAGTACTTGCAATGAAGATACTGAATTATGCAGAAAAGTCAAATCATATTCAATGTGTAGTACCTTCTATATGGAAAAGAAATTTGTCATGTTTTAGAAAGACCAATAAAAATGTTTTTCAAATGCAATGACTATTAAAGGATTAAGTTGGAAAACTAATGTATATGGTTCACCCTAATAATGCTGGATATTTAAAGTATTGTTGCAGTTTTCCATATTTAAATGACATATAGTATGTTCTGTTATATAACATCCTAATTCTGATACATTTTAAACTAGTTCTTAAGGGATTTATATAAAAAGAAGTACAGGCATACCTTGGAGACGGTGCAGGTTCAGTTTCAGACCACTGCAGTAGTCACACGAGTTTTTGGTTTCCTAGTGCTTACAAAGGTTAGATTTACACTATACTGTAGTCTGCTAAGTGTGCAATAGCATTGTGGCTAAAAAACCATAATGTATATATCTTATTTAAAAAAATGCTTTATTGCTAAAAACTGCTAACTTACCATCTTAGCAAGTAGTAGTAACATCAAACCTCACTGATTACACATTGCCATAAAAATACAATAATAATGAAAATGTTTGAAATATTGTTAAGGATTGTCAAAATGTGACACAGAGATATGAAGTGAGCAAATGCTATTGGAAAAGCGGAGCTGGTAGACTTGCTTGATGCAGGGTTGCCATAAACTTGGTTTTTTTAAAAAAAGTAATAGCTGTGAAGCTCAATGACATGAGGTATGCCTATATCAGAATCTTCAGCCAGTACTCTTTGGCATGTTTTCCCACCAGCGTTTGGAGAGGAATGAGGGCCTACTATCCCAGGATGATTGATGCTCTGGGAACTTTCAGGCCCATCCCCTGGCAGTGTCACTGAGGACACATCCTTTCACTTCAGTCTGGATTTATGCTAGGCCCACCCAGTCTGTGGTTGTGAACTTATAATTCAAAGCAAATATTCTTTCTTTTACTTGAAAAAGAGTACTTGATTGGTATCTCAGATTGAATTACTATTATTATTATTTTTGACTAAGAACACCTATATAGTCTGTATGCTGATAAAAAGTACAGTTTCCTTGTTACCAGTCTATTAGTAGCATTAAAAAAAAGAGAGGAAACCCAGTAGCTGAGTAATAGTAAAAAGCCAAGTAATAATAGCTTGTCTCGCCTGTGGTCCTACATAAAATTCACATTTGAATTGAGATTTGTACTTTATTAAGGTGCCATCCTACTGTTTAGGAGTAGGCTAGTTGGAGTTTACCCATAATGAATTGTTTTGGAATTTCTCAGTATAAAAAAGTTGACATTTTACTTTGTCTAGACAGCTCCAAGAATATTTAGCATTACCACTTAAAATATTTTAAAAATATCCACATTGTTGGAAAACTTGATAAATGTAGATCTAGGAAATAAGAGCCTTTATTAATGAGTGAAAATTGAATCTATTCACAAAGAGATCAAAATTGTGGAGTATGAATGTTATTTCATGTGATCAGTTGTCTTTTGTTTTCCCAAGGAAAATATTATTGGAGTAACTAGAAGTGTGTCAGGCTTGTTTTAGTAATTTAGGTAACTGAGTTCTGGCGAGACTGTTTTCTGAGAGACTTTTGAATCCCCAGCCAGTGCTTTTTAACCAAGCTGTGTTTTTGAGAAAACATCTTCATTTGTTAAAGCAGTCGGCTTACTGGCAGTAGAGTTGCATTATACTTCATAACTGCAGCTCAGAGCACCAGGCTCCTTGAGTGATTCCCTCTGAACTCTGCTCTGATTCTTTGAAGCAGGAAACGCAGTCTCCCTCGATGTCACCTCTTGCCTCCCCTCCTTCTTCCCCGCCTCATTACCAGAGGGTGCCCTTGAGCCATGGCTACAGCAAACTGCGGAGCAGCACGGAGCAGATGCATTCAGGTAAGAGGCCAGCTGTCCCACGCAGTATCTTAGACACTTTCCTCTATCAGTCAGCCATGCGGCCAGTTTCTGAGTCTCCTGACTTATCTCTGGCTCTGTAAACCGGACTTAGTTTAATTTTATACTCTCAAGCAAGGTTTAAAAAAAATATAAAATGAAATCTTTATTAGTAATGCCTTGTTTTCTGTCCTACAAACTAGTTCATCTTTAGACTTGTAGATAATGATTTAGGTGATTTAATCCTTCATTTACAAATTTCATTACATAGGAACATAGCACATGAAGAATTTGTATTGTTTTGGAATTCTTATTCCTTTCTGCAAACATACCAAACATATTTATATACCTGCTCTCATGAAACTACTTAAAAAATAGAATTCTGCAGAAGAGTTGATTCAACCTTTAAAGACTGAGCACATAAGTGAAAATATTTAGCTCTTGTGCTTGAGAATAAGAATAATAAGAGAAATGCCAGGGGAAGCATTGTGTTGAGGTGTGTGAAGCACCCAATTGTGGCCTTGCTTGCTTGCTCACATTTTTGTTACATTGACTCTGTTAGTGGTAAAATATGTTAGTTGGTTGTGAGAATGACTTGTACAGTTGGCTGCCTAGGCTGCAGTGCTTAAAGCTCCACAAATTCACTGCAGCATCTTGTCCTTGTGGAGTTCAGGCTCCTAGCTGAAGATATGACCTTTAAAGGTATTCTAGAATTGGATATCTGTAACCCTCCACCCTTTTTATTCTGTGAGCTGTAACTGAAAATGACCCAGTTTCTGCAGGTTTTTTGCTGCACTGAAAATAGTGAAGACTTCTAGAGGGACACAGATAAAAGTGTGCTAGACTGAACTAAAGAGAGGCTATAATCTTGCTGAAAGAAGCAGATATGGCATGATGGGAAAATCTTTTTTTCCTTAATTTTTCTTTATTTATTTTTGGCTGTGTTGGGTCTTTGTTGCTTTGCACAGACTTTCTCTAGTTGCAGCAAGTGGGGACTACTCTTTGTTGTGGTACTCAGGCTTCGCATTGTGGTGGCTTCTCTTCTTGTGGAGTACAGGGTCTAGGCAACATGAGCTTCAGTAGTTGCAGCTCTCGGGCTCAGTAGTTGTGGCTTATGGGTTTAATTGCCCTGTGGCACGTGGAATCTTCCTGGAGCAGGGATCAAATACATATCCCCTGCATTAGGAGGCAGATTCCTATCCACTGCGTCACCAGGAAAGTCCTGGGAAAATCTTTTGATTGGAATCAGAAGATGAGGGTTTATGTGACCAGCTATGTGACCTTGGGCAAGCTACTTACTACTCTGAACCATGATTTTCCTTCCTTCTTTTGAAACAGAGTAATAGTATTCTGTAGGGCTGTTGTGAGTATTAGCGAGAACATGAGTATAAGGGAATAGGAATGAAAAATCACTCCCCTGGAACTTGAGTGTCCCATTGGTGTCTGAAATGAAATGGGATTGAGAATTCTTCATTTTTCTCTTATAATCTCTCCTGCCGAATTTCCCTGTTTTTAGAAGTGGATTTTTTTCTTAATTTTATCTAGCTTTGGAAGTTGGAGTCCTATGCCTAGCATGGTGCCTAGTTTTTGGTTTTTAATTCAAAGGTGAGTCATTTTTGTTCTACTGAGTCACCAGGTTCTACCCTGTCTTTTTTTGGTTGGTATTCCTTAAAAAACCTGTCTGTACCAGCTTTCTCTCCTTCATACTCCATTTCTCCTCATTCCATTCAAATTGGGCTTTCATTCCCCTAGTGTCAAGGAAACAACCTGCTTTTCTTCTTTGTTGTTGACTTTTAGAAGCTTGTGTCAAGGTTGTCCATGCTTTCATTCTTTCTTAGCCTTTTTTTAAAAAGTGAGGTAAAATTTACATGTGACAAAATGCACACGTTTAAAATCTTCAATTTGAGTTTTAACAAATGGATATACCCATGTATCTACCACTTTTATCATGGATAAAATATTTTCTTACTATATGATCCAGCAGTTCTACTGCTGAGTATATATCTGAAAAAAATAAAGGCACAAATTTGAAAAATGACATGCACCCCAGTGTTCTGAGCAGTATTATTTACAATAGTCAAGATACAGAAGCAACCTAAGTGTCTATCAGCAGATGAATGAAGAAAGAAGATATACACATACATGCATATACACAATGGAATATTGAATCATAAAAAAGAATGAAATTTTACCATTTGTAACAACATGGATGGCTCTAAAGGGTATTATCTTTAGTGAAATAAGGCAGAGAAAGAGAAATGGTATCATCTATATGTAGAATCTAAAAAATAAAATAGGTGAATAAATTTAACAAAACAGAAACCTACTCACAGATACAGAGAACAAACCTAGTGGTTGAAAGTGGAGGGAGTAGGGGATTAATAGGTACAAACTACTTGGACTTCCCTGGTGGCACAGTAGATAAGAATCCACTGCCAATGCAGGGAACATGAATTTGATCCTTGGTCCAGGAAGATTCCATATGCCGTGGAGGAACTAAACCCAGGTGCCACAACTACTGAGCCCAAGCTCTAGAGTCTGCACGCCACAACTACTGAGCCTGAGCACTGCAGTGAAGAGAGTAGCCCACGCAAAAGCAATGAAGACCCAGTGCAGCCCCCAAAAATGGTTCATTTAAGAGGTACAAACTACTATGTATAAAATACATAAGCTACAAGGATATATTATGCAGCACAGGGAGATATAGCAATTATTTTATAATAACTTTAAATGGAATATAATCTATAAAAATACTGTAATCACTATGCTAAAAGTATATTGTAAATCAACTGTATACTTCAATAAAAAGTCTGTCTGACATTAAAACCAATATTTCTGTCACCTCAGAGATGCTCCTTTCCAGTCACTTTCTCTGTGCTCCCTGCCTCCCCCATGCAAACATAGTTCTGATTTTTATCACTGTAGATTAGTTTTGCTTCTTCTAGAAACTCATGTAAATGGAATCATAGTGAATTACCAGGTGTCTTTTCCTCAGCACAGTGGTTGAGATTCTTCATGTTACGTGTCTCAGCAGTTTGTTCCTGTTAATATATTACTCAGTGTTTTTCCACTGTATGAATGTATCATGGAGTGATGATCCATTCTTCTGCTGATGAGTATTTAGGTTATTTCCAGCATTTGGCTGTTATGAATAAGGATGCTGCAAACACTTGTGTATGATTCTTTTTGTGACATATGTCATTTTTCTGGCACCTGGGAGTGGAATTGATGTACCTTAGGGTAGGTATAAGAAACTAATAAAGAGTTTCACCAAGTGACTGCATACTCCCATAGGCAATGTGTAAGAGTTCAGTGTTCCTTGCCAGCAGTTGGTACTCTGATTTCTTTCTTCAGTGTTTTTAATCTTAGCTATTCTGTTACATGTGAAGTGACATTTTCTTGTGGGCACTCTTTTGTTCTTGAAACATTGTTTTCTAAGTTTCTGTTACCCCTTCCTGGTTTTTCCTACATCATGATCCCTAAACTTGAATTTATGCATTTTCAGAAATGAGTTTTGCTGCTAGGACAATTTTCTAGGAATACATTTTTCTAGGGTTGTTTCTCTGTCCAAGATTCTGCCATACACATATGGGGCATATGTGTATGTTTTAAATTAGGCTCAGCATCTTTGGATAGTCTGTGATTCAGAGCCCCTCTTCTACCTCTCTCCTGGGTGCCTGCTCATCTCCTTTGCTGGATGTAGCTATAGCTGATGCTCACTGGATAAGACTTAAGTGCCATGCATTCCAAGTTCTTTGTGTGAACTGTTTTCTACTTACCACAACCCTCAGAGGCAGAAGTTGCTATCTGTATTTTTAAAAATAAAGTTTAAATCACAGTAATACTTCTCCTTCCCACTCAACCTGTTTCCTGTTTTCAGAGGCAACTACCTTTCTTGCTTTTTTTTTAAATTTATTTTTTAAAGTACAGTTGATTTAGTGTTTCAGTGTTCAGCAAAGTGATATATATATATATATATATATATATATATATATATGTGTGTGTGTGTGTGTGTGTGTGTGTGTCCTTTTTCAGATTCTTTTCCATTATAGGTTATCACAAGATATTGTATATAGCTCCCTGTGCTATACAGTAGATCCTTGTTTATCTATTTTGTACTTAGTAGTATGTATATGTTATTGTTTCATTTGTTGTATAAAAACTTCTGAGTTTAATTAGGTCCCATTTTTAAAAAATAAGCCCTTTTTCAAAAAATTGTTTCTTGTTCTCATTGGGTCTTAATTGCAGCATGCATGTGGGACCTAGTTCCCAGACCAGGGATTGAACCTGGCCCCCCTGCACTGGGAGCACAGAGTCCTAGCCACTGGACCTCAAGGGAAGTCCCAGGTCTTATTTTTAAATTTTTCTTTTTGTTTCCACTAACTGTTGGAGATGGATCCAAAAAAATATTGCTGTGATTTATGTCAGAGTGTCCTGCCTATATTTTCCCCTGAAAGTTTTACAGTATCTGGTCTTAAATTTTGGCCTTGAATCCATTTTGAGTTTTTTATATGGTATTAGAGAATATTGTAATTTCAGTCTTTTACATGTAGCTGTCTACTTCCCCCAGGATCACTTATTGAAGAGACTGTCTTTTCTTCATTGTATATTCTTACCTCCTTTGTTGTGGATTAATTGACCATAAGTGCATGGGTTTATTTCTGGGTTTTCTATCCTATTCCATTGATCTGTGTGTCTGTCTTTGTGCCAGTACGATACTGTTTTGATGACTGTAGCTTTGTAGTATAGTCTGAAGTGAGGAGGTGTGATTCCACCAGCTCTGTTCTAATTTTCTCATTATGGCTTTTGGCTGTTTGGGATCTTTTTTGTTTTCATACAAATTTAATTTTTTTTGTTCTAGTTCTATGAAAAATCCATTGGTAATTTGATAGGGATTATATTCAATTTCTAGATTGCCTTGGGTAGTATGGTCATTTTAGCAGCATTGCCTTTTCCAGTGTAAGAACATGGTATTTATTTCCATTTGTATCATCTTCAGTTTC